ACTGACAGACAGATAAAAACATTTCCAAGTTTTGTATGAGCGCTATCACAAAGCTATGAATTATTGATCAGTGTTCCCTGGGCGCTGATGTTATTAGCAATGGAAGAAAGCAACAAGTATATGCCGTTGTTCATTATCGCAGGTTTACAAAGTGAAAAGCTTTTTAACGGAAAGCTATTACATTTTTTTCAATGAGTTATTATTCTGAAGTGTTACAAAAAAAATTGACAGTAGCATATGAGCTTATTTTTTACCCCCTGGAGAGGGTATTTAAATGAGTGATAGTCGCTGGACAAAAGATGCACAAATAGAGACATTTCAGTAAAAGTCAAAAAGTTCTATGTAATTTTCTACTGTATAACCAGAATTCAGAGATTTACTCTCTGTACTTCCTGTACCTCCAATCATGTTTAAATTTGAAAAGCAGGTCTGAATCTGATTGCTGGCTGTCAGAAACTTTTTAAGTACTGTTGGAATATGCGCTTTTTAGCTTTTTTTTATCTACAAAAGTCCAAAAATGCTGGTTGGTGGCGTTTTGCCACGTTTTTCAGTATTTTTCAGTGTTAGAGCGTTTTTCCAGCTGAAAAACTCCTCTAGAAATCCACTAGTCCTGGGGTTTTTTCCAGCCAAAAAATGTTGATTCCAGTCTATGTGTGCATGGACCTATAGGATAACATGCTTGGGGGGTTTACTAGCTGTAGAAAAAAACGTCAAAAGCCAAAAACAGTCGCTGTAATAACGTCAAGTGTGCATGAGGATTAAAGGGAAATATACTGTGCACATCAAGTGCAGTTGCTCAAGAGCTTGGGGTAAAGCTTCACTTTTCAAAGAATACCAAAATACATGCAAGGAAAATAAAAAAAAACAGATTTTTTGCTTGCACGTGATTGGATAATAGAAATGAGCTTCCCCTCAGATCTAGAGCAATCGCAATTGCAATGCACTTGAAGTGCACTTACAGTATATTTGCCTTTAGTAAATCAACCGCCATGTCTTTTATCTGAATAAAGCTTCCTGTTTCCTTGTTGCAGTGAAGCAGAAAAGCACATGTGGACTGTGCAATGTCTGTACTGTAGGGCTATAAACAGAATTTCTAACAAGTTCTGGACCCAGTCATAGCCAGCTACAGCAAATAAGTGCAAGATACAGCAACAGAAACCAGAACTATCTAACTGCTAATAAGAGGAGGTATGTGGAAGTGTATAAATAAAGTCAGGCCAGAAAATACTTCAGATGAGTGGATAGAGAAAGATCAGAAAGCTCAGGGAACAATCTCTCTTAGCATAGGAGATGATCAAATCATAGAGTGGGTATGGAAAAGAGTCACCCCCCCCCCCTTTGAAACAATCACATTTTGTTGCTTTGCAGCCTCAAATGAAGACAGACACAGTTTTTGTTTTATCCAGCTGTATTTACTCAGTGTAACGTGTACCATCCAAGCTAAAGTTATAACATCAACACGTCAAATACAGGATCACTGAGTTGGAAAAAAGATCACCCCCTTGTGCCAGTATATTGTTGAACCACCTTTTGCTTTAATTCCAGCCTTTAGTCTGTTGGGATATGTCTCTACTAAGTTTGCACATTTGGACTTTGATTGTGACCGTTTGTGGACTGCAGTCTTCAAGTCATTCCACAGATTTTCAGTGGGGTTTAAGTCTGGGGTCTTACTAGGCCATGCAAGGACATTCACGTTTTTCTCCTTCAACCACTGTGTGCTCATTTTTGCTGTGTGCTTTGGGTCATTGTCATGTTGAAAGGTAAACCTCCTTCCCATTGACAACTTTCTGACAGAGGGCAGCAGATTCTCCTCAATAATTTGACTGTATTTTGCCCCATCCATTTTTCCTTCCATCCTGACAAGTGCTCCAATCCCTGCTGCAGAGAACCCCAACCCCCCTCCCCATAACGGGATATTCCCACTTCCATGCTTTACTGTAGGAATGGTGGTATTTGGATGGTGAGCTGGATTGGATTTCTGCCAGACAGATCGTTTACAGTTGAGGACAAATAATTCCGTTTTAGTCTCATCTGACCCAGAACACCTTTTTCCTTGTGGCCTCAGAATCTTCAAAGTGGGTTTGGCAAAGCTCAATGGTGACTGCACATGGCCTTTCTTGAGGAGCAGCTTACTGTTGCAACTCTCCCATCCAAGCCACATTCATGGAGAATTTGTGATATTGTTGTCACATGCACACAATGACTACCCTTTGTTATCCATTCCTGAGAGTGCTTCAGAGTTGCTGTAGGCCTCTTGGTAGCCTCTCTGACTAGTTTCCTCCTGGATCATTCATCCAGTTTGGATCCAGGGAGGGTGTGTGATGTACCAAATACACTTCCTAATAATAGACTTCTCTGTGTTTCTATGCATTGATAAAGCCTCCTGACTTGTGCCTGACCACAACTTTATCCCAGAGATCTTTTGACAGTGCCTTGCCATTTATACCCATATTTGGTTGTTTGTTTCAGTTGCACTACCAGGGACGAAAATGTTCCAGGAAATTTTTCATGCTGAGCTAATCAAAATGACCAAAGCTGATCACAGCTGAAAGTCAAATGGCTTTGTGTGCCATTGCGAAGGTGATTAGCTACGCCTGATTGAGTTTACAAGTAATTTCTAGGAGGGGATGATCCTTTTTCCAACCTTTTTAAAAGAAAATTTCTGACATGTTGGTGTTATATCTTTAATTTGGATGTTATAAGTTGCACTGAGTTAATATATCTGGATGCAACAAAAACTGTGTCTGTGTTGATTTCAGGCTACAAAGCAACAAAATGTGATTGTTTTAAAGGGGGGTGATTCTTTTTTATACCCACTGAATATATATATATATTTATGTAAGTGTGAAGCTGCTAAAGCAGCGTGGGATGGATTGCAATAGGTGCATGAAAGAACCTGTATTTGATTAGAAAGCTATATCAAACTAAGCTGATGAAAGGCCAGGATATGCAGGATCACATAGGGCACACCATGGTAATGGTTGACTGCCTGAGAGGCATAGGAAAAGAAATAAAATATTTTTTTCATGTCGCAGCACTATTACTTAGTGGTTTACCAGAAAGTTATCAAACACTTGTCACAGCACTTGATGCCTATCCAGATGATGAACGGACATTGGAATATGTTAAGGGCAAGCTTATGGTTGAATACAAGCATGAAACAGAAAGCATTAGAAGTGACTGTGCCTCTGTCACAGACTCTGCTTTATAGACGAAAAATACGAAAAAGAACAGTAACATGCAACAAGAAACACATGAATGCAAGAAACAAGGTCATTTGAAAGCAGATTGCAGAATCTGAAAAGCTTGAATGCAAAAATACCCTAAACTACAAAAGGCTAAAAGTGTGCAGGAAGAAACTGATCTTCCTTTGGATAATAAATATAAAAAATAGCACTGACACTGAACTAAGGGCACTGGGCAGGAAGGGGTTAACATGCGGGGCGATCAAAAGGTTAACTTTACGCCACAATCGCTCCAGTGCATTACTATGTCTCTTAAGATTTCTGGTGTTGTCAGTCTGCCACGGTTGTAATGGTCGGGGCCTGATACTTCGTGTAGTTAGAGGAGCAAGTGAGTAGGCAATCACCGGGCGCCAGCGAGTAATCACCGGCCGGGACCCGGTGGTTGACAGCCACGGCCACGAATGGCGCCGCGGATAGAGCGCGTGTGCCCCCTCACCCGGAAGTGTAAAATCACGTACAGTATATATATATATATATATATATATATATATATAGATATATATGTGTGTGTGTTTTTGTGCACCTGTGCCGCCCTGTAGCAGTATATCTGCTATAGGGTGGCCGGAGAGCGGTTAATAGAAATAATCATCTACCTCTTCTCTTTCCACTGCACCCCTTAGCACCCCTCATTCTTTCTACTATCTCCCCTGTCCGCAGTCAGCTCCCTCTATTCATCTTGTCCCTTTATCCTTCAGTCCCCTATCAATTCCTCTCCTAGTGAAAAACATTCAGCTGCCTTAATCTTTTTCCCCTCCACTCCATAGCACTACTCCTTTCTCACTCTTCTTACTTTGTACCCTGTCCACAATCTGCTACCTCTCTTCCTCCCGAATTTCCTCCCTGCTGTCATCTTCTACCATGCTTCCCAGATATGCTTAGACTTATGCTGACCTTACAATTTTGTTTGAATGTTCAACAGTATAAAAATTACTCATCCGACCATTCAGTGTTGCCTTCATGGACTCAACCGGCTTCTAATGAGTACCTTGTCAATGTCTCCAATTTTTTAGAATAAGACAAGTTCTGATTTTTCTCAGCCGGGAGTGAATTCATCAATTAGAAATTCCTTCATTCCTTTTAGATGCAACAAACATTTTCTACCCTTGTCTCTTGATTTTTTCGCTCCCTCTGGTCAAAAGTAACTGTCAAACCATTCCCCTTTAACTCTTAGTTAATCAAACAAACGTTCTCACTGTCTACAAGACTCTGCCCCATACCGGAGTTTAAAAGTCCCACCGGCTCCAGGGGTCCAAAGGAGGGTCACCCCAGCATCTCAGTAGCTTGAGCAGTACACAGCTCTCTGAAATTGGAAATCCAGGACCCATATCAGAACATAACAACTTTGAGAAAACTGTAGCACAGTTTTCCCCTTTCTATTCAGTCCCTCACCTTGCATGAGTAAGAAACACTGAGTATTGTAACTGTACTCTTTTTGTCCCCCTTAAAAGTACCACAACTCAAACAATGTGGACACATACCCACCATCCAGGAAACATCCCTGTCATCCTGTACACCCCTAGATGCAGGAACACTGTGATTGGGTAGTAATGTACACAAATGCATTCTTAATCAGGCCCAAAAGGGGAAAAACTGTTGGAAAAAATAGATATCAGTAAGGGGTGCTGAAAGTGATACTAAACACACACTGTTTAAATTACATCTCTGTCTGTATGAGGAAGATGGCACTGTAATTATTTTAATAAAAAAAACCATCAAAGTACCTTTTTCCTAATTGATATACAGATGTCACATGACCAGGGGTGGACTGACCATTCGCACAATCGGGCACTGCCCAAGGGCCCGGAGTCAGTAGGGGGCCCCATGAGATGCCCCTGGTACCTTTTTCATAGGCTTTTTTGGGTGTGGGCAAGGACACAGGGGCCCATGATCCCCTATTGCCCGGGGGCCCCATGAGTTGTCAGTCCGCCCCTGCACATGACCCAGATCTTTCCCAGCCTGTCTGCATGGAAACAATAACAGGAGGAGCTTCTATTTCTCTGCTGCTGGTCACATGTTCAAAATAAAAACCAGCCTTTGGAATACAGAGTAAGAATAAATAATATCAATAAATTGTTTTAAATTTTTATACAAATGTATATTTGAAATCAAATCTTTATTATTTTGTGGAAATCACATGGTGTGGGTGGATTTCTGCCAGTCACTGGTTGTGTCATGTCCCTCCAACCTGTGTCTTAGAATAGGAAGGATGTTTTTTTTCTCATTATTCTACATGTAATAGCCCCCAATGTGTTTAGCTAGTTAGTGGGCATGGAGGAGGAGGAAGGGAGTGGGCTGTCTTTTATCACTGTGTATACATGCCCACATGTATGACTCTATAGTCACATGGGCTGTTCAGATGTGATAGGAAGGAAATGTTCAGTATAGAAACTCACTGCATGGTTCTGTTAATGACCATCTGGTGGTACTTCTAGCAGTCCTCAGGACAGGATTCCCCAGGGCGCGGAGTCTAAGTCCCAGTCTGCTTATTCACCAGGGCCCCTAATGGTGGGGATGGACTTGAAGCAGACAGGAACCAGGTCGCGGCCCCTGAGTACACCTGCTCATGGTAGAGGGATCCGCCAGAGGTATATACTGATGTGAAGAGGCAGAAGGTGTGAGCAGGGATGCCTGGACTGTGCAGGATGGATGGATGGATCGTCTGGGTAGCGTAAGGCATAGTCAGGCAGGCCAGGTCAGCAATGTGCGGGCAGCGAGGTACCAAAGGAGCAGGCAGAGAATGGTCAGGGTCACAAGCCAGGTTCAGTAATTCACGGGCAGCGCGGTACAGAGGATCAGGCAGAGAATGGTCAGGGTCACAAGCCGGGTTCAGTAACTCACGGGCAGCACGGTACAGAGGGTCAGGCAGAAGGATGGTCAGGCAAGCCAGGGGTTAAACAGGAGATGGTCAGCAACAATGCAGAGGTCAGCAACAGAAGATAGGCAGAGGAACAGGAACACAGGATACCAGGTACAGGGGCTCATGGGAAACAGTACAACAAGGCGCTGACTGCAGGTCTGGCCATTCCCTAAATACACCTCCTGCAATCAGCCTCAGGTGATGGCTGACTGCAGGAGAGAGCTTCTGGTTGCTGAGAGCACCCCCTGGCTAGCCCTGGTACTGCAGCCCACAAGGCAAGGTGAGTTCCACCACCATTGGCTAGTCCTTTCCTGACAGACTGAGTGAGTATGAGCAGCATGCAATACAGCATTTATTGATAGTTTTTTTTATGATGTGGATTTAGTGACTCTTTAATGCTACTTTTAATTTTACTGTGAATACTGTTATAGTTCTTTTGAAGCAAAACTCCACTTTACCATATAAAAAAATGAAAAAATGCAGATCTAACTGCAATACTTCTCTTGTCTGCATTATTATCTCCCATAGAAATTCTGCCTCACCACCAGTCCTTTTCCATGTTGAATAATGCCCAGACCTCCTTTGAGCCCAGGATATCATGGACATACCCCTGTGTGTGTGAGCCTACGTTGCCCTTGTCTCCAAGAAAAATACTGCAAAGAGTAGCTCTGATGTCACAATGTGAAGATCGCCCACTGCTGCCAGTAGAAGCAGAAGAAGACCCAAGGATGTCATGTGATTAGCAAGACAACGTCAGTTTGGGTTCCCTAAAACTCAGTATAATCTGAACAGATTTCTGACTTTGGTTCATCTCCAACATTTACTGGACAGCATACGTACTTCACAGATTTTACTTGCTGTCTGCCTTTGCTCTTTAAAAAAACGTGCATCCTTAGTGCTGACCTTTAGATGGGACTCAAGAAGCAGCCAAAAAAATGTAAAATAATTAAAACCCTCTCTCAAAGATGTTTCTCTGCAATGGTACAAAAAGGTCGACGGAGCCCTTAAATTAAATATAATGCGTTGTTCTTTTTCAGTGACTCATTGTGGGCATCTCAACATAGTTGGCAAGGCTATTGTTCGAGATTTTAGAACATGAACAATTATGTGAACTTCAGAAGGATAAGGGTTCTTATTACGAAAGATAAAGCTTGCATTTAAGGCATAAAATTTAGCAAAATAAGATTTTGCAGGGTTTTTTTTTTTTTTTTTTTATAGAAATGAAATAGGCCTGTGTGCTTAGATGTACTCCGGGAGTGGGATTAGTACTGCCTGTTCTTTCTATTCATTCAAAACATGCCCTGTCAACACATGTCAAGCAAATAGGAATGGAAATCTGCATTCTAATGCCGCACGTTGCACTGTACAAGATTTTTATTACACAGACTGAGGCCAGGAAAGCACTTTCTATGCAGAGTTTAAATGCGGTAAAATAAACATATGAAAAAAAAAACCCAAGGTCCATCAATGACACTTATTCTGTGAAAGCAGAAGAATGGAAAAATAAATATGTTGCCAAATTAACCAGATCAGAAGGTGGCTTTATTTTGTTTGCAGTGTCTGTCAGAAAATGGACAAATGTGAAGGGTTGTGGCAGCGCTGGAAGGTTTTCTGATCTTGCCCTGGCTCGAGTCATGAAGATCTAGCTTAGTACCTCTTGCTGGTATACAGTGAATGCCGAAAGGAAAAAGATGAATAATGTGTTGGTTTCAGCCAGGGGCGGATTGACAACTCATGGGGCCCCTGGGCAGTAGGGGATCATGGGGCCCCTGTGTCCTTGCCCACACTCAAAGCACACCCAAAAAGCCTATAAAAAGGTACCTGGGGAATTTCCTGGGGCCCCCTACTGACCCCGGGCCCTCGGGCAGTGCCCGAGTGCTCAAATGGTCAGTCCGCATCTGGTTTCAGCTGGACAGTTGGACAAGCCCCTATGTCCCCCCTACTACTGTCTGGCCCAGGCCGATACTACCAGGGTGTCTTCTTTATTTCAGTTATGGCAACATGATTTACTCACATTGATGGATGGTGACTGGAAGGAGGGTATCTCACAATATCTTTCTGTCATGATCTCAGCTAGAGATAGGTGGATGCAATTGAAATTCCTGCATATGGTATATTATTCCCTTCAGAAAGTACTGTATACACTACTGTTGATTCTACCTGACCTAAATGCCATACTTTAGTAGATACATTTCGTCATATGGTTCGGTCTTGCCCTTTTCTGCAGGAGTTTTGGAGGGACGTGGTGGCTGAGATTGGGGCAATTAGTAGTATGGTGGTGCCTATGGACCCACTTTTGCAGCTTCTGGGATCTGCGATACTATTGATACCACTCACCACAAACAGCTGTTTCTCTTTTATGTGTTATATTATGCTAGGAAATCTGTCCTTCTCAAGTGGAAGGTGTAGGATCACCCCCCCCCCCCCCCCGGCACAGCAGTGGTAATCCTTGGTTAACAATGTCTTTCCCCTGTATAAACTTATCTACCTGGGCCTCAATATCCCTAGAAAATTCACTAAAGTTTGGGAGCCATGGGTCAAGGCCAGAGATTTAACACTGTAATACTTGCAGACTAATATGTATATAACACACCAACATAGGGTGGTCACTATGGGTGTGATCATAGGTAAACCTGGGCTACGTTCTATTTGCAAGTACTACCCCCTATCCAATATTAGGATCACATGGACCTTTTTAGGCACCATAGACAACAGTTAAAATACAAAACATATTTTATTGTTATACAAAAAGATTAAAATACTGAAAATAATATCATAACATTCTTAAGCAATAACTAATAATCAAGTCCCAGCGGGTGATATATTTGCATAAGGAGGTACAGCCCCCAAGGGGAGGTGGGATTTCACATGGACTTCTTTCACCCAGTCTGCACCCTGAAGGTCGATCAATAATGAGCACTACATGTTTCACAATGAAGATTGCTTCTTCAGGAACTTGAAACTAGTTTTCTAAATACGTGAAGACAGAAAACATGAATAGTCACATGTACATAACTTGCATCTTCTGTACTGAGATATTCGCTTTGGAAAATTTGCATGGATAAATAAAATACTATGGAATGGACGGCAAAGTTAACCCAGAACTGGAGGACTGATGGGACACCATCACATGTGGGGACTGGTATGGAAGTCTGCCAATAAAGGTGTATACAATATAATACACCAATTAGTACCAATATAAGTCCCTCAATAAGAGGGAATATGTTGCCACATATGATCTGAAAAAAAAATATCTACTGGCTAATGCTGTCTACATAGATGAACTCCACTTCCAAACAGATATCCAAAGGCCATAAATGGACTTAATGCAGCCCATACCAGAGTATTAAAAGATCAATAGGGGTTTGATATCATCTTGGACTATCAATATGACTCCTTGAATCAAAGAAGGTATCCATAATCAATCACTATCCCAATGCTTCACTAGTACATACTGTATGAAAATTATATTGGCACTCACCAAAAAAAAACTTTCCTTTGGGAAGACCCTATATTGATCAAATACATTAAGGAGAAACCTGAACTAGTTTTTTGAAGGGCTACTTTCCTCCATGAATGACTCATAGTTATTATTCTCCAGCCCCCCCCCCCCCCCCTTAAGAACCATAGGAGGGGGATTTACAAATGTGGCCATTGCAGTTTCTGTACCTGTGTTTGCTTAGGGACTTGTTTCATACTTCCCAATGGGTAGAAATTTCCCCCTAAATTCCATGCAGACTGTAATACTGAAGACCTGGTCTATTTAATGTTATGTAGATGTGGAGCATTTTATGTAGGGAAAACTATCAGGAAACTGAGGCGGAGACTTAATGATCAGGTATACTACTCAGCCAATGGAAAAATTGTAGCATATAGAGGTGAACAGAATCCAGGATTTTGGTTGCCTAGTAGGTTATAGGAAGAAGTCTAATATTGGAGCGTAGTTTAAATTACCTGTCTGTTAGACTCTTACATGATCAATTTCTGGCAGGGACGATGAAAAAACTGTGGATAGTTGGTTTGTTTGGGCACCCTCCTTGAGAAGATGTGTGGCTAGCCACGCTGCTCCACATCGCAGTGGACCCAGGGGCGGACTGATCATTTGGAAACTCGGGCACTGCCCGAGGGCCCGAGGTCAGTAGGGGGCCCCATGAGATGCCCCTGGTACATTTTTCATAGGCTTTTTTGAGTTTGGGCAAGGACACAGGGGCCCCATGATCCCCTATTGCCCGGGGGCCCCATGAGTTGTCAGTCCGACCCTAAGTGGACACATGGTCCTCCTATGGGATGGGTGCAACACTGGTGGTCTCCCCAAGAGGCCGCTCCCTGTGAGGAAACCCCCTTGGCTGAGTGGGTTGCCTTGGGACACCTCTGTGGCGTTCTTTTGAACACCTTTGGATGATCATGGCGCATGCGTGGGAAGCCAGGCGCATGTGCAGGTGATTAGCTGGGTTGAGTGACGCCACACTCCACATTCAGCCGGTGTGTGTGCTCAGCTGGGACCAGTATATAAAATGGAGAGGTTTAGTACAGGTTGACGTTGATGGCCTTGGATTATGAGCGGTAGTACAGCAGGACTTTCAATAATGGTTTGTTGAATGGTTGGGTGGTTCTCATGACTCCTAGTGATTCTATTGTCTAAGATAACAGCCCTATGGATATGAGATTGATATATTGTTCAGGATTGGTTGTTTATTTTATCTGTTGAAGGACTTGAGCAGTGGGTAATCTCCAATGCTTTGGATGACTAGTTAGGGTCACTATGTCCTTTTTCTAAGATAATGCAGTCAGTAGTACTACTTATATAATCAACCAGCTGTCATTTTTCTTCTGGAAATTTTTGCTGTTTGGTGAGTGCCAATATCAATTTCATATGACATGTATTAGTGAGGCATTGGGATAGTGATTGGTTATGGATACATTATTTGATCCAAGGAGTTGATCCAAGGAATTATCCTTTTGATAATTCAGGATGATATCAAGCCCCTATTGATCTTTAATACTCTATTATGGGCTGAATGAAGTCCATTTATGGCCTTTGGATATCTGTCTGGAGTGAATTTCATCTACTGTATGTAGACTGCATTAGCCATTTTGTAATGGCTCTACTTTTTCTTCTTATTGAAGGACTTTTATTGGTACTAATTGGTGTATATATTGTACATACCCTTATTGGCAGACTTTTTATCTTCATACTGTTCCTCACATCTGTCCTGGTGTCCATCAGTCCGCCAGTCTGGGTTGTCTTTGCTGTCTATTCCATAGTATTTTATTTATGCATGCAAGTTTTGCATATAAAGCGAATATCTCAGTACAGAAGATGCAAGTTATGTGCATGTGTCTATTCATGTTTTTCTGTCTTCACTTATTTAGAAAACTAGTGTCAAACTCCTGAAGAAGCGATCCTAATTGTGAGACATGTAGAGCTTATTCTTGTTCGATCTTTAGGGTGCAGATTGAGTGAACATTGGGGTCCATGTGAAATCCTCCCTTTCATTGGGGCTTGTACCTCCTTATGATAATACATCACCCATTGGACCTGATTATTTGTCATTGCTTAAGCATTTTATGATATTATTTTCAGTATTTAAATCTTTTTGTATAACAATAAAATATGCTTTGTATTTTAACTGTTGTATATATTGCCTAAAAAGTCCACGTGATCCTACTATTGGATGGGGGTAATAATATTTGAAGAGCAAAGTTGGCTGATGACTTTTACTGATGTGTCCCCCTGGCAGCTGGAGGTCTTTCCACCCTTCCTTTCTGCTCTACTTTACTTCCTTCCCACTGCTCTTTCCTTATTTCCCTTCCAATCCCACTTTCTTACCCCCTCTCCCCTCTTTCTCCCCCCTTTCTTTCCCCTTTTTTCCTTTTTCCCCTCACTTTTTATCACTCCTCTACACTCACCATCCACAATTAGGTACACCTTGCTAGTACCACATTGGACCCACTTTTGTCTTCTGAACTGCCCTAATTTTTCGTGGCATAGATTTAACAAGGTGTTGGAAACATTTCTCAGAGATTTTGGTCCATATTGACATGATAGCATCACGCAGTTGCTGCACATCCATGATGCAAATCTTTTGTTCCACCACATCCCAAAGTTGCTCTTCCAGCTTGAGATCTGGTGATTGTGGAGACCATTGAGTAGAGTGAACTCATTGCCATGTTCAAGAAGCAAGTTTGAGATGATTTAAGCTTTGTGACATGGTGCATTATCCTGCTGGAAGTAGCCATCAGAAGATGGGGACACTGGAGTCATAACATGGTCAGCAACAATACTCAGGTAGGCGTTTAAACAATGCTCAATTGGTATTAAGGGCATGGATCCATGCTTTCATGTTGTTTACGCCAAATTCTGACCCTAACATTTGAATGTCGCAGCTCACATTGAGACTCATCAGACCAGACAACGTTTGTTCAGTCTTCTATTGCCCAATTTTGGTGAGCCTGTGTGAATTGTAATCTCTGTTTCCTGTTCTTAGCTGACAGGAGTAGAATCTGGTGTGGTTTTCTACTGCTGTAGCCCATCTGCTTAAGGTTCAGTGTGTTGTGCAATCGGATTTGGTATTCTGCATACCTTGGTTGTAAAGAGTGGCCTTTCTATCATCTCAAACCAGCCTGCCCATTCTCCTCTGACCTCTGACAACAACAACAACTGAACAGACTTTTGTTTTTTTTCAGCCAGACTAACTATGTAACAAGGCATTGTCATCCGTACAACTGCCGCTCACTGGATATTTTCTCTTTTTCGGACCATTCTCTGTAAACCCTAGAGATGGTTGTGTGTAAAAATCTCAGTAGATCAACAGTTTTTGAAATACTCAGACAAGCCCATATGGCACCAACAACCATGTCATGTTGAAATTCAAATCCGCTTTCTTCCTCATTCTGATGCTCGGTTCGTATTTCAGCAAGTCATCTTCACCACGTCTAGATGTCTAAATGCTGCCATGTGATTGGCTGATTAACAATTTGTGTTACCAAGCAACTGAACAGGTGTACCTAATGTAGTACCTATTGACTAATGTTGGAGCTGCTCTACTGTTCATGGAAGCCTGGTGGGAAATTTTAGCTTATAAGGTATAATTGCAGGGGTGTATGTAGCACAAGGCAAACAAGGCACTTGCCTAGGGTGGCATTTTTCAGGGGGGCAGCACCTTCCCCCAGAAGAAGGGATGAAAGAAGGGACACATGCGCCATGGGAACCAGGTGGGATCCGAGAGAGGCGATGGGCTGCTTGATGGTGTATTTAGAGCGGGAGTCTTGTTCCCGGAAATGTCTGAAGCTTTGAAGATAAGTGGGGGGGGGGTAGTCAAAGGCTCTCCCGGGTGGGGGGCAGGGGTGTTGTTAGCTAATATCAGGCTCTCTCCTCAAGAGGGGGAAGGAAGGGGTGGTGTTGGTCATGTCCGTGGGGGTAGATGATTTTTTGTGTTGCCTAGGGCAGCACAAAACCTAAATACATCACTGTATAATTGTACAACCGGTATACCTCCTCTTGTTATGTTTCTAAACTCTTTCTGTGGGCTATCCACTAATTGTGATCTGTAGACTCTGCTGTTGTTTTCATTGTCAACCTTGCTTGGCATTATTGTTGGTTTTTTAGTTACTGTTTTTTACTTTGTGTTAAATTTTATAAACTTACCTGTTAAAATCCCTACTGTCAGCTGGCATTGAGTATGAAGGGGAGCAGTGATATCACTCCCCTCCTGCATGTGATAGTGGTTAAGCTCAGCAACTGGCTACTAGACCCAAGCATGGTCATAAGGAAGGTTATATACCCCCCCCCCCCCATACTTGAAAACACCAAATATTGTCACTGCTGTGAAGAAGCAGTGGGGGACAAAAGTGAGTATAATTGGGTCAGGGGGAACCCTTTACAAAGACAGTATCACTTTACACTAAATAGTGACAATGTCTCTTTAAGATTTTTTTTTCTTTAATGTATTATACAAGTCCAATTCTAAATTGCTATTTACAACTAGCTCTTAATCTTCTTTTCATAGACAATCAGTTAACAGTACAATAGCCTGTGTCCTAGGTTACCAAGATGACCCAAATTTCCTCACTGCTCTCGGAAGTCTGCCTACAAGACACTTCACTCATAGTAATTGCTTTCTATTATAGCATAAGCAAACCTCAAATTACAAGTTTCAGCTGAAACTCCGAGACAACAGGAGCTGATCCTAGGAAAGTGCTCTGTATTTATTTAATATAAACCCAACTTTTTCTTACCATGGATATGTTTAATGCGTAGCCATAATCTTCCACAGTATAAGAGATTGTTTTCCAAAGCCATTTAGAAATATAAAGCGATAAAAAATATAGTGATATAGAGGCTTGTAATCACATAATGGGGTATTTCTCACTCTGGATATGTACGTTGTATCGAGTTAGCAATTCGGGCAGATTATCCTCTAGGTCAGAGACTCCCAGGCTTTTTAAACAAAGGGCTAGTTTTCTAATTTTCAGACGTTATAGAGGCCGGACTGTTGACAGTTGCCACTGATGCACCATAGTTAGTGAGTAGTGGAAATAAAAAATTACCTAGCTCCTGTGGTGGAAGGAATAGTGCCCCATTGTTGGTGTCAGTGGGAAGAATAGTGTCACATCATTGGTGTCAGTGGAGGGGATAGGGCTCCACTGGTGGTATCAGTAAGATGTATAGTCCTCCATTGGTTTGTATCAATGGGAGGAATAGAACCCTGTCATTAGTGTCAATGGAAGGAATTGTGCTCCGCTGGGGGTATTAGTAGGAGGAACAGTTCCCTGTTGTTGGTATCAGTGAGAGAAATAATGTCCTGTTTTTTGTGTCATTTGAAGGAAACTGGTATCAGTGGGAGGAATAGTGCTTCACTGGTGGTATCAATGGAAGGAATAGTGCTCAGTTGGTGAGGAATTGTGATCTATTCGTGATATCTGTGAAAGGAATTGTGATCCATTGGTGATATCTGTGAAAGGAATAGTATTCCATTGGTGATATCAGTGGAAGGAACAGTGCTCTATTGATGTTATCAGTGGAAGGAATAGTTCCCCAATCATTGGTGTCTGTAGAAAGAATAGTACTTTATTGGTGGTGTCAGTGGAAGCAATGCTGCTCTTTTGGTGGTATCAATAAGAGGAACAGTGCCCCATCGTTGGTATCAGTGGAAGGAATAGTGCCCCATCATTGGTGTCAATAGAAGGAATAATGCTCCATTGGTATTGTCAGTGGAAGGAATCATGCCCTATTAGTGGTA